TCGCCCGTTAGCAAGACCGAAACTAGATGCGTCAAGCTGCCTAAGGTCTTGACCACCTCCTCTTATTTAAAGGATAATAAGTTGTACCATAAAGTGCAAACGAGACTCCGCATCTAGATCAAGTTACCTTTCAAACAGCGTATTCTCGGCATCAATGCACCAACCCCTGGCAAGATCCGATCGGAAATAACCCAAGAAGAATTAGAAGAGTGGCTTAAAAGCTCCTTTAAGCCATAAAATTTCCCTTCATTTATACGAGATTCATATTTCTTTTTTTTGATTTCACTAATAGACAGATTGTATTACTCCCGCACCGGAACTCTTGCTTCTTGGCCAAGAGAGGCTTCTCGCTGCAATTGATTCCTAACACCTGATCGGCGATTGTGAAAAAAGAATAGGAGTCCTTTAGCCTTCGGTCAATAGGATGAATTCTTCCCTCTAGTGGGTCAGTCAGTCTTGAAATGTGTTCCATAGAATAGAAGAGAAAGGGCCCGGGGTAAAGAAAGCAAGCAGGCCAGAGTAAGGAGGAAAGGTTGTACCCTGCAATTCAATCTTTTACACCGATGTAGCGTACTAAAACGCGGGAAATAAAGTTGTGATAACAATAGTCAAAGGGTACTCATAATGGTGGGGGGTCTTTTTCAAATATGGAATTGTCACCCTATTCTGATATACGAGAGGAATTCACCTTTGATTGTGCGGCTTTGTTTAAGCTGCTGCGCTTTCTAATCCGCTTCGAAAGGAGAACAGAGAGGCTAAGGCTAACTAACTTACATGATTTCAACTATACCTGAAAGGTGAACAAGAAGAGTGTTCACTAGTAGCTAGTATTGAAAGAAAAGCAGCCGTTCCTTCGCTGCTTGCTTTGCTTCAAGCTCCCGAGAACTGCTTCGATTTCGACGGATGGATAGTAGTACCTGAAAAGGAAAAACCGTAGTCTTTTCCGCAGTCAATGTGTAGTCATTACTCAATCAAGATCGATAGCCCAGATTTTCATTTTCTATTATACAGCCATTCTTTTAGCCAGGAAGGGCATCCGCGCCCCATAATTCTGTTCAAAGGAAAGGATAAGGCGGGTTGTTATGTTAGTAACCTCCGTATGGGAATGAATCTCAGTCTTTTCCTTCTTTGCCCACCGGTGTTAAAACAAACTAAAGCATAAAGACGGAGAAGATAAAGAGAGCTTCTCACTTCATGGAATGAGATGCAAGTTCTTGCTCGACTTCTGGGGTTCATTAGCAAAAAAAGCTATTGAATTAGCTGCGAGAGAGGTATTGTACCATAAATACCGAAGAAAGGATCAAATGGCACGATTGATGACTTTTATAGTCTTTACCACGCGAGAATTGAATAAATAAAGAAGATGGCTTCTANTTGTCACTCCAAAATTAACTAGAGACAACTATAAAGATAACTACAGCTTCTGGAAGTCGCAAATCCTTTCAGCGGTGGGAGCTCACGAACTTGAAGATCATTTGACAGGTCTGATTCCCTGTCCTGCACCTTTAATTGCATTAGATCATGAAGAATCGAGTGAATTAGGTGAAATTAGTCAAAGGAGAAAGTTAATCCTAATTACATTTCTTGGAAACGAACTGATAAGTTCTTAGTAACCTGGTTGTCAACGTCTATTTCTGAGTGTATGTTTGGAGTTATCTCAAAGTGTCAATCATCTACTGCAATTTGGTTGACTCTTGAAAGTGAATTTCTAAATGATTCTAAATCTAGAGCTTTTCACTTAAAAAAATTACTTCAAAATACTCAGAAAGGAAATCTGAGTATCAGTGATTATGTTAAAAGAATGAAGGGAATAGCCGAGAGTCTGTCTGCTAGTGGCCAAGTCATTTCTGATGAAGACTTACTAGGATTTATTTTGGATGGCCTTGGTCCTGAGTTTGATGCTGTAATTGTCAATCTCACATCACGGATAGAGTCTAAGTTTGATAATTCAGTCACTTTACAAGAAGCACAATACCTATTGCAGAAGTATGAAATGAGGATTGAGAGATTCAATTAAGCTGATTTCTTGAATAATTCAGTTAATAGCTCTGTAAATGTAGCTGTAATTAGCACTCCAGGATCCCACTCTATTAAGAGAAATACTCTACAGACATCAGTATCCCCATCATCTATTCCTCTCATCAACTCACACTAAACTCAAACACTTTTCCCTCCAATACTCAACCTGTCTCAAATGTTCCCAACCATCCCATGCATCCTTAGTATCCCTCACACATTGGAATTCACTCTCCCAGTATCTCTCCATTACATGATCAATTCCATGCCTCAGCAAATATTGGGCAGTATGGAGTGCCTTATCAACATTTCAGACCATCTGGTTTCTCTTCTTTTGGACGAGGGAGAGGAAGAGGAAATCTAAAAGGAAAACCTATTTGCCAAGTGTGCAATAAGATTGGACACACTGTAGTGCAGTGTTACCACAGATATAATTCTCACTATAATGGTTCCCCTCCACCTTTTGGTAGTCAAGTTCATGGAGGTTATCCAGGTGGCATTGGTCTTCCTTTAGTTAATCAACACATCAATACCTCCACCTCCACCTATCCACCTAACTCTTCATTTGGTGGACATCAAAAGTATGAAACTAGTGGTAGTGGTTATCAACAACAACAACAATCAGTACCAAACTTTAACCATACACCCTCAGTTTTCACTATCCCTAGTCAACAAACACTTGCCTCAATTCCCAGTCAAGCTTATTTTGCTGCTCCTCATCCTCTACCAAGTTTAAACCCTGGTTTTTCTTTAACCTCCATTCAAGATCTAGCCTGGTATATGGATTCCGATGCGACTGATCATTTCACCGCTGACCTGAACCAATTGAGTGTAAGCAGAAACTATGATGGAACTGAACAGCTTCTGATCGGCAGTGGTGAGTTTCTAAATATCTCTTATGTTGGTTTTTCCCTTTTGCCTAGTACATTGCAATCTAAGTCTTTATATCTGAAAAATGTTTTATGTGTTCCTCGTATAACTAAAAATTTGCTTAGTATCTCTAAATTTACTAAGGTTAATAATGTTGTTGAATTTTCTACTCATTGCTGTGTGGTTAAAGACAAGGTTACCAATCAAGTGCTACTGTAGGGAGATCTTAAGGTTGGATTGTATTAGTTGAACCCGTCCCCGATTAGCTTTAGGAATATTCTGCATTTTTAAGTATATAAAGTTTAACAACCTTGAATGAAATAAAAATTTATTGCGCTCAGTGCGTTCAGTTTATTATATAGGTGTTGTTGCTATTTAGTTCGGGTTTATTTGGTTTTCCCCTCTGAGACAAACCCTATGATGAATAAAAAATAGAAGTGTAACTAAGATAAAAGAGTTACATAAAAACATATCTTTCAGTGTACATCCTATCATAGGGCAATCTCTATGTTAGGGCGAAAACAAAAAGCTATACGGGGTTTTTTATTATTTCTAAATGAAAAAAATGGTTTAATTCTAAGCCATCTCATGGGAGAAGAATAAAAATAAACCTTGTTGAAAAATAATGTACAAGCTACATTAGAGCTGATAGTTCATAAATATTTGACACTAGAGATGAGAGAAAGGCTAGATAACAATGGAAAAAAAGTTAATGCGGATCTGGATTAACATTCAAATCTTGATTAGAAATTAAATTAATTAAACTCTATCAATATATTAGTTATTAGCATATCAGAGTTGTGTAATTGCAACTTGTCCTATTTGAATTTGTATCTCTAGAATATTAATTACCGCTTTTTTAAATGTTCTCAGCATTATCTTCTGATAATTCCTAAGCATTTTTAGCTATCAAGTGTAGGAAACGTGACGAGAAGTAATTAAATTATTGTCCTAGAGTATGATAAGAGGTGGGAGAGTTATTAATTACTAATTTTTTTTATTTTTTTTTAATGACCGAAGTGTCTAAGTCAGCTTGCACATTTCTCAACTAATCCACAGATTTATTGAACACTCTACAAGTTTAAAGGTGGAGTTACTAAATGCTTTTCTCTTTATGATCGCGTTGTTAGGTCAGCTTGCGCACACCTCAACTAATCCTCAAGACCCACTGTTTCAAGGTAATCCATAAATGTGATAGATGACCCTTGTGAATCAAAATGTCAGATGGCAAAGAATCAAGGGTCTGCTTGATATTCTATCAAAGTGACATCGTTTTAATGTGCACTTAAAGTTGTAAGAAGTTGCTCAGTAACCATCTTTTACTTTACCAAAATCGTAGCAGCTCTTTGTAGCAGATCTGTAGCTTTCTTTTTAAGGGTTTCACACTTTGTAATTCGTTAACTTTTCAATTAGAAAGATTGAAGAAGATTACTCTTTAGATTTTTGTTTCTCTTTCAAAAGTTCTCTCGAATTGTAAAGTTCACTTGGTATCAGAGCCAAGACTAACGTCAATGGCAAAGATTTCAGAACAACCACTCGGCACCAGCTCTGAAAGAATGACTCACCTCCAGTTCTATTTGCTCAGCCTTTTCAAACGATCTTCAACGGACATTCAGTTACCCCAAACTTCACCATGTGAGTTGAAAGTTCAAATAATTGCTCAATTATTCATAAAACTAACAAACGTTTATATCTATATTTTATGACAATTTTTAATTTTTATTCGGTTTCTCTTGCTAAATTAACCAATGAAGAAATACTTATATAGAACAATCTTACTAAATCACTTGGCTAATATGATGAGATCATTCCATAACATAATAGTATGTGTCACCATATGTTTGCCAAAATATCTCTTTCATCCACCCGTCATCATGATTCATGAATTATCCATTATCATTCATCGATAAGAACCAAAATAAGAGGGAGTTTTGAAAATTAATAATTTGTGTCTTTATTTAATTAGATGGTCTCATAACGTTGGAAAGTTAGGTGGTGAGATTGTCTCACATAAGTTTTTCTCCTAACACAACACCTGCTGAGTAAGTTTAACTAACGTTTCCTAGTTAATCAGTATTGAGCCAGATCATTCTTCTTAAAGTTGAACCACTATCTATTTGATATCAATCATTCATAATTTTTTATATAAGCAAATCATATAGTCTATGGTATTGTTGATATGTCAAATCAAATGAATCATATGCAAAACCAATTATGCAAATTCCTGAGTTTTAAATTGCTAGAAGTATATGGTGAATGTAGGTCGCACCATCTAGAAACTAAAAGGACGCATTACACCATTTCATACTTTCTTAAAGAATCAATGGCTGATATTTGAAAATATTTCTTTGAGTATCATCTATAAATTAAATGATTTGTCTTGACAAACCCAGAAACCTTTTCAATTTTTGTTAAGGTATTCAGTTGAAACACATCCTCCACTACTCTATGGACTCCATTAAAGAAGCACAAGACTCTCCAAAAACTTACGAAGATATAATTTCAACCCTTCCGAAAGATAATGGGTGGAAAAAGCCTCTTTACCTCTACCAAGGCTTTTGGTACATCGCTTTCCAGTTAGAAGGAGTCATATTTGCTCAACAAAACTTCCAGACTCAACCTGGTGACATTTTTTTGTGCAGTTTTCCAAAATCAGGTACCACTTGGCTTAAGGCCCTTGCTTTTGCCATTGTAACTAGAAACCGTTTCGACCCTTCTTCAAACCCTTTACTCACAAAACAACCTCACGATTGCGTTCCTTTCTTGGAGATGGATTATTTCGAGAATCCAGCTATATCTGGGCCTGGCGGCCTCTCGCTTTGGGCTACACATATCCCATATGCGTCCTTACCGAAATCTATAACAGATTCAAGTTGCAAAATTGTTTATATTTGTAGGGATCCAAAGGATGTATTTGTTTCATTGTGGCATTATCTAAATAAGCTAAGAGCCGACAAATTTGAAGGAACCCCTATAGAGAGGGCCTTTGAATTGTATTGTAATGGAAGCTCTCTGTATGGACCTCAATGGGACCATGTTCTAGGGTACTGGAAGGCGAGCCTGGAACGCCCAAATCAGGTTTTGTTCATACAATATGAGGACATGAAGAAGGACTCAATTTTTCACTTGAAGAAGCTGGCTGAGTTCATTGGGTATCCTTTATCTTTAGAGGAAGAAAGTGAAGGTAGAGTGCAGAAAATTATAGAGTTGTGCAGCTTTGAGAATCTGAGCAATTTAGAAGTTAATAAGACAGGAAAACGAACTCATCGTGAAGTTGAGGGTGGAAAAATGGATAACAATGCATACTTCCGAAAAGGTGAAATTGGAGATTGGAAAAATCTTTTGACATCGGAGATGGGGGAAAAGCTGGATAACATAACGGAGAAAAAATTTAGCGGATCCGGATTAACATTCTCTTGATTGATCCAGAAATTAAATTAATTAAACTTTACCAATATATTATACTGTTCCTTTGCATATCATAGTTTGTCTCAATGTAATTTGTCCAGTTTGTATTTCGCATCTGTATGAATATTACTGCATTTTTAAATGTATATAAGAGTTTAACAAACCTTGAATGAAATAAAAATTATTTGCGTCAGTGCGTTCAGTTTATTATATAGGTGTGTTGCTATTAGTTCGGGTTTATTTGGTTTCCCTCTGAGACAAACCCTAGATAGAATAAAAAATAGAAGTGTAACTAAGATAAAGAGTTACAAAAACACTTTTCAGTGTACATCCTATCATAGGGCAATCTCTATGTTAGGGCGAAACAAAAAGCTATACGGGGTTTTTTATTATTTCTAAATGAAAAAATGAGGTAATTCAACGCATCTCTGGGAGAAGAATAAAATAAAACCTTGTTGAAAAATATGTACAAGCTACATTAGAGGCTAGATAGTTCATAAATATTTGACACTAGAGATGAGGAAAGGCTAGATAACATAATGGAAAAAAAGTTAATGCGGATCTGGATTAACATTCAAATCTTGATAGAAATTAAATTATTAAACTCTATCAATATATTAGTTCTTATTTAGCATATCAGAGTTTGTGTAATGCAACTTGTCCTATTGAATTTTCGTATCTCTATGAATATTAATTACCGCTTTTTTAAATGTTCTCACGCATTATCTTCTGATAATTTCCTAAGCTTTTTAGCTATCAAGTGTAGGAAACGTGACGGAAGTACATTAAATTATTGTCCTAGAGTATTTGATAAGAGGTGGAGTAGTTATTAATTACTAATTTTTTTTTTTTTTTTTAATGACCGAAGTGTCTAAGGCAGCTTGCACATTTCTCAACTAATTACACAGATTTATTGAACACCTACAAGTTTAAAGGTGGAGGTACTAAATTGCTTTTTCTTTATGATCGCGTTGTTAGGTCAGCTTGCGCACACCTAACTAATCCTCAAGACCCATGTTTCAAGGTAATCCATAAATGTGATAGATGACCCTGTGAATCAAATGTCAGATGGCAAAGAATCAAGGGTGCTGATATTTATCAAAGTGACATCGTTTTAAGTGTCACTTAAATGTGTAAGAAGTTGCTCCAGCTAACCACTTTTACTTACCCCCCCAAATCGTAGCAGCTCTGTATCTTTCTCTTTTAAGGGTTTCAAACACTTTGTAATTCATTCATTCAATCAGTAAAGTTGAAAAGCTTACTCTTTAGATTCCTGTTTTTCTTTCAACAAATTCTCTCGAATTTCCAAAGTTTACTGGTTCAACTACATTTGCCATCAACTAATTCTATGCCTTAAAGCCTTAATTTAAGGTTTCATTAAAATTTATAAACCCTAGCATAATCCCTAAAATCATGGGAGGTTCTTCCTTACCTTTTTAAAGAATTCATCCAACAAATCCTTTGTCTTTGTCTTCTTTTACACCTTAATCCTACATAGATAACATTATACCTCAACATCTACTTTAAATCTTCAAATAACATCAAAACTAGGGTTTTAATCATTACCTTAAACCCTTCAACTTGAAGATCCAAGGCTCTTATCTTGTTCTCTTTAAAAAATTATGCAAAACTCCTTTAAAACTTAGAGAAAGAAAGCTTGTTTCATGGAAGATTTGAGAGAAAATGGAAGAAATGCTCTCTCCCTTGGCTTGAACGAATTTCCTCTCATTTATAGGAAAATATTTCATTAATTTTTCAAAATTATGCTATTGGCCCAATTATTTTAATTGTATAACTCAAAAGTCCTTAATTCTTCATATAACGGTATTTTGGTCATTTTGCACTAAACATAATTATTACTTAATTAAAATCATTAAATGCAATTAAGTCTACTCATCTTTGACCTTTTCAATACTTATCCATATGCAAAATGACTATTTTGCCCCTAATACCTTTTTATGGATAATTGATTCATATCGTTCCAAATGAATTGACTATTTTGGCTTTAGTTAGATTTTATGCTTTTTAACATGAAATTAACATCTAAAAGACTAATTTCAGTTAGGAACATACCTTTGATATCTTGGGTATTATAGAGACTTGCTACAAAAAGTCTTGTGAGATTCAATAGTGAATGCAAGCTTTGGCACACCATGATTTCTGACTCCACATTCGAAGAGACTAACCTTCAACAACAGATGTCAAAAATCAGGATTATTGCCCAGCAAAACGGAGGTCATAAATTCTTGCATTCTTTGGAAGAAACCGAAGACGGTGCAGTGAGAGCTAGAAAATTAGCTTCTTAACCCTTACGAGATACTGTAATACATTAATACTGTATAAGTATAGTTCTACAACCCTAGGTTTTTATGATACCATCACCCAACGCCGCAGGCTGTTGCCTTCGATAAACTACCATACACTAACACTTGGTCCATTAGTCTACGATGCATCAAACCAAATTTATAAGGTGGTGGTTTTTCGACATGAGTTTTATATTAACAGTAATAAATTATCACTCGTTTCTTGCTTATATTCCTTTGATTATGAAAGGTGGTCAGAGGATGAAGATGGAGAGTGAAGGCTGCTGAAACCCCCAAGGTTTCAGACTAATTTATTATCTTGTATTGCCATGAAAGGGATATTGTATTGGATAGCTTTAATGAATGCCGATTATTATTATGATACAGATTTTATTATATAACCTTTGGAAATTGCCTCAGAAAAGTTCTTGGGAATTATACTGCTTCCATGCCGACCACGCCGAACGCCTTGTTATGAATTGTTGGAGATGAAAGGATCACTTTGTCTCGTGAATCCAGGCTCTGATACTGATGTTACTGAGTTAGACATATGGGTTCTTAAAGATTCGGTTCAAAGCATTTGGATTAAGCAACATACAATCTCTCTTTGGGCCATGGTTGATAGACCGACTTCTTTGGAAAGTTTCTACTGGGATACGTTTACTCCATGCCTGGTTTTGGAGAGTTGCAGCAACAGATCTACATACATCCTCTTCAATTCCTTATCTGAGTTATACTGGTACACCATTGATAATGAGAAGGAAAAGAAGATCGACTTCGGATATAGTTCTGTCATAGTAGCAGCTTCTGTCCTAGATTAACCAAAGGAGACGAGTTAGGGTAACAAATATGTAGATAAGTTCAATTGAGATGTTAACTTTTTATTTACAGGAATATACCTATGATGTAGGAAAAATATTAATAAATTATTATTTGATTTTGTTTCCCTCCCTTTATTTGACTTTCTTATTTATTTAAGGTTTTATATTAGGAATTTAAGTAATTTTATATTGTTATTTGATTTTCTTATTTATTTAAGGTTTTATATTAGGAATTTAAGTAATTTTCTATTTTAATTTGGAGTTTAGTTTATTTGGGAAGTTTTAATTTAGGTAAGGCTTTATTTTCTTATTTAAGTTGTATTTGATTTCGTCTATTACCATTAGGAATAGTTTAGTGTAAATTGGTTTGTTATGTTACAAACAAAATAATGACTTTTCAATAAAATTTCTCGATGGTTCCTTTGCAAACTGTTTTGTTATGGATTCGAGATCCTTTTGTAGATTCAAGACTCATTGTTTGTGGATTTGAGATCTTTTTGTAGATTTGAGATTTATTATTTGTGGATTCAAGTTGCCACATTAGAGCGTATATGCCTATCCAATTTCCGTTGTGTCAACCTATTGATGGCAACTACTTGTTAGGCCAGTTGTTATTTGAGTTATCGACTTATATCTATTGATGCACTTAGCCATTGACCCAAAAGAAAAAAAAAAATTCCCTTTAACTTATATTTTGACGACGAACAGAGAACAAACTTGGTTAAGGCTGTTGGGGCTTTCGAAGAAATGTCTTTTTGTGGTGGAAGGTCAGATTTTGGTGGTTGGGATTGATCGAAATTTGACTTGGAAGGAGCGGTTGTGCAAACCCTAATCACTTGATTGTCAGTGATTGACGAAGTCGACGGAAGTAGAGTTTGAGGGGTTTTGATAAATGATGATCAGGGAAGAGAATAGTGGTGGTGTGGGGTCATAATGATGTCAGAATCAGAAATAAAATATAAATTTGGGTAATAATTAAAGTTGTATATTAAAAATATGTGGGTGAGAAAATATCATTAAGTCATTTACTCTAACTTTTTATGTACACACTATCCATATAGTATTATTTGAAAATTTAAAATCATATTTTATAGGATTATAATCCTTTTTACATATTAATCCTTCACCAATTTAAATTTTAATGAACAACACTAGTGGATAATATAATCATCCCAAAACCAGTAGACTTATAAAGTTAAAGAAAAATGATATAGTTATCGAAAAAAATACACCGAATTTATGCACCGACAGACGTGGCACCATCTTGATCGTCCATTAATTATGATTTTTTTTTTTTAAGAAAAGAAGATGGTGCCACGTATGTCGGTGTGTGAATTTGATGTATTTTTTTCGATAACTCAAAGTTAAGACTTTAATTTACTAGTGTAGTGAGGAATAACGAAAAACCCTAAAATTCTTAAAACAAGAGAAGGGTTTCACTTTTCTCACCATATTTTCCAATCTGACACACCGAAGCTTTCAAGATGAGAAACCCTAAAATTCTTGAAACAAGAGAATATATGGAGGAGAAGATGAAAAACCTTAAAATTCTTGAAACAAGACAAGGGTTTCACTTTCCTCACGATGTTGTCCATGATATCTTATCAAAAGTTTCTGCAAAATCTCTGATTAGATTCAAGTGTGTGTGCAAGCTCTGGTTCACTACAATCTCTGAGTCTACATTCGAGGAGATCCACCTTCAACAACAGATGTCAAAAATCATGATCATCAACCACGTTGATAATTCGAAGACGTATTGTGTGGAAGAAGAAGGCATAATCCCAGGCAAACATGTGGTTGGACTGAAATCCAATAACTTATTGCTCTATGAAGATAGTCTTCTCAACTGTAAAAGATTATATGTTTATGATACCTTCACCCAACGCCATAAGTTACTGCCTTGTATCACCTTCAGACATGGTTGCTCATTTGTGTATGATGCATCAACCCAAATTTATAAGGTGGTCGTTTTTAGAGATGAATTTTACGGCAGTACTAGTAATACTAGAAGACTCACATGCTGCATCTATTCCTTGGATTATGAAAGGTGGTTAGAGGACGAAGAGTGGAGGCAATTGAAAGCTCCAGTGTCTCAGATATTAGTTTCATGCACTTCGCCTAAATTCCTCAAAGGGATATTGTATTGGCTGTCTCGCAGAAGTGCTGTTACCAATGGTTTAGATGTAGCTTTTATACAACCTCTGGAAATTGCGACAGAAAAATACCAGGAAATCATAAAGCTTCCATACCTAAACTATTCTCTCCATGGGTTTAATAATATCAACTTATCAGAGATAAAAGGATTACTTTGTCTGATGAATCCAGCCTCGGTTTTTGAGTTTGACATATGGGTTCTTAAAGATTCATTCCGAAGCCTTTGGATTAAGCTGCATACAATCTCTCTCGTTACCATGGTTGATAGACCAAGTTGGTTGGGAAATTTCCATGGGGAAGAGTTTAGTCCATGCCTCGTTTTGGAGGGTTGCAACAACAAACTTACATACATCCTCTTTCAGTCCTATGGGCGCGAGCTCCACTGGCACAAAATTGATCATCGGCGCATTGACATGGCATAAGTGATTAGGATTGGCTCCGAAACCCGATTTTACTTTTTATTCTTATTTTTTTGAGTAATGTTTTGTTTGATTGGAAGATGGGTTCAAACCTTACTGCTTGTACTATTATATCAATTACCAACTAGACGAAGCATTGCAATTTGTAGCCCTCACCAATTTAATTTAATGATATATATGTATATGCCGGTTTCACTTTTCAGTATCTTTTAAAGAACATGCTTGGGACAAAAGCCTGGCAAAAGAACCAATCGTAAAGATACATTTTTCTATAAAACAACTCTAAATCTACTACTTCACTTGAAAGCAACATGCCTTACATAATCTATATATACCCAACTCCATTTCCTTCCTTTCATCAACTCAATCTTGTCTTTAATTATTTGAATCAAAGTTTTCAATAGGAATGGCTCTGTTTTCACATTCCAAGTTCTTGTTTCTCTCTTTGTCTATCACTCTCTTCATATGCTCTACTCTAGCTCATGACTTTTCCATTGTGGGTTATTCACCTGATCAATTGACTTCCATGGATAAGCTCGTTGAACTTTTTGAGTCATGGATGTCAAAACATGGGAAAACTTATAAATGCATTGAAGAGAAGCTGCATAGATTTGAGATATTCAAAGACAACTTGAAGCACATTGATCAGAGGAACAAAGAAGTTACTAGCTACTGGCTTGGTTTGAATGAGTTTGCTGACCTGAGCCATGAAGAGTTCAAGAATAAGTACTTGGGATTGAAACCTGAATTCCCCATAAGGCGACAGTCTTCCAGTGACTTTAGCTATAGAGACGTCGCGGCTTTGCCCAAATCTGTTGATTGGAGAGAGAAAGGAGCTGTTACTGAGGTTAAGAACCAAGGTTCATGTGGTATGTAACAAAGCCTATGCGAATTTTGTGTGTGATTTCTCTAAGATTGTCTGCTAAATACTAAGTAACTTTATTAATATGATGCACATGCAGGAAGTTGTTGGGCATTTTCAACAGTTGCAGCTGTAGAGGGCATAAACCAGATAGTCACAAGAAATCTAACTTCATTGTCAGAACAAGAGTTGATTGACTGCGACACAAGCTTCAACAATGGTTGCAATGGAGGTCTGATGGACTATGCATTCGAGTTTATAGTCTCCAACGGTGGACTCCATAAGGAAGAAGACTATCCTTATCTCATGGAAGAAGGCACTTGCGAGGAAAAGAAGGTAAAAATAACATTTAAGAATGGTGACTCGTGCTCTTCTTCTGCAGATATTTTGACTTTAGAAACTACTCAGTTTTTCTCTCTAATTATGCCTGTTTATTTGCTATGTTTAGGAAGAGATGGAGGTAGTGACAATTAGCGGTTACAGAGATGTGCCAGAAAATGATGAACAGAGTCTTTTGAAAGCACTGGCTCACCAACCTCTAAGTGTAGCCATTGAGGCATCTGGCAGAGATTTCCAGCTTTACAGTGGGGTAAGCTCTCAGTCTCATCACAAAATACGTTCCAATGTCTCTGAGCATCTTCTATTCAGCATCTGACAATACACAAATTCTGGAACTGGTTTTGCAGGGGGTATTCAGTGGTCCTTGTGGAACTGAATTAGATCATGGAGTAGCTGCAGTTGGTTATGGATCATCAAACGGGGCAGCTTATATAATTGTGAAGAACTCATGGGGACCCAAATGGGGAGAGAGAGGATACATCAGGATGAAGAGAAACACAGGAAAACCTGAAGGACTCTGTGGTATCAACAAAATGGCTTCATATCCCACCAAAAAGAACTGAAGTGACCAACTGGGTTTTTCTTCCCATGAACATTTATTTTCCATTTATTTTCTGGTTATTTTTCTTCTTGAATCAACTAAAGTTGTCTGTTCCTACTTGCTATTTTCAATAATAAATATTATGGCTTAACATTTCACAGAACTACTCCAATATTCAATACCGAATTCTGAAAAAAAGGAAAAAAAAAAAAAAAAAAAAGAGTTTCAGTCGACTTTTTATATAAACCATACCATTCAGATATTATTGACAACAATTAAAGAACAGATTGTAATCGATGCACGTGCACACACACACAACTTTTTCTAAGTTTACAAGCCAGCATAATAATAACTATGTAATAGAATTTTATATGAAGAAGATACAATGCACCCAACCTGTAGAAAATATTCAGGATGCATGCAAATAATTTTCGGAGTTCATTAATAATTAAAAGGTCGAAATTTTTAAAATTGATAGGTTTAAGTTTCCAGGTGCTATGACCTAATGCTATGTATATCAAATGATCAACACAGAACTAATTATGTTAAGAGTACAGGAATCGAATCAACATTAACTCGAAACTTCATTGTATTTGAAGACACAGTCGTAGAGTCGTCCTCCAAGAAACTGGGCAACCTCAGGATGTTTCACCTGCAACAAAGAAAAGCAAAAAGAAATTATAGAAAGAAAGAAAGAAAAAAAAAAGGCAGCACATTAAAGCTATGTTTGTTAACTGACAATATTGAAAAGGCGACAAAGGGTAAATCATTACCATTCCAATCTTCAGGGAATCACATTTAAATTGAGCATAGAGATTTGTTTCAATTCCGCGACCCTGCCAAAAGCAATGGAAACTTCCTAAATTATGTTGAAGAATTGATAAAGGTAACTTAAAANGGACCACATAAGGAAATTGTGACACATGTAAAGGTAAATTATACAAGAATATCATGAATTGGTAAGACAACAAAGAGAAAATGCCACTTGGCCAAATACGTCACCATAACGTAAGTTTAACAAAAATATCAACAGTTATAAACATCCTTTTCTTTGGATTTGCGAAAAGAGACGAAAGCTTTAGTTATCATATCAGATTATGTATTATTTAGTTCAAACATCTTTTTCTTTGACTATAGCTTTATCAATTATCATCTCCTAATGATTGACCACTAAATTAAGATTTATTCGATAATAACCCTTTGATATTTTATTCAAATGGTAATCACGCACTTGTTTGGTCCAAACAAATAATATTTTTGTTACTGTGAAATGACTTAAGTAACTGATTTGGATGTCTGCAGAAGTCTTGGAGCCTCTATATGCAACTTAAAAAGCAACTAATATAATTGCATGTATAAGACTGGGCTGTCACATAAATATCCAGAACCCTGCGAATTGAGCTAGAACAGAGAAGATTTGAGAACAAGCTAAGAACATAGAAGATTTGAGAACATTCGAAGCTGGGTTTCTAAATCTGGATCTGATCTTTCATTAAAGAGAGAAGTAGTACAAAGTGTTTTATACAAATTTGGGAAGAAGCAACTAACGGAGGTCTTAACAGAAAACATTACTAACAACAGTAACTTTAACAGTTTGACCATTTGACCACACAGTTCCAGTTTATAACTCTTAACATCCTCCCTTAACCGGAACTGTGACAAATTTCTACATGATCTTCTTAGATCGGACTTGTGATTTAATCTTTGTTTTGAGCAGCCACAATCAATTTCAGCAGCTTGGAAATCAGCAGCAATTAAGTTCAGCAATGACTAAATTCAGCAGTAGCTCTTCTCAACAGCATTAATAGAGCAGTGACTAAATTCAGTATTCAGCAGCTCATCAGTAATAAGGTCAGTATAGAAAATCAGCAGTAACTCAATTCAGCAACTCAAGTAACTCAATTCAACAGCTCAGCATAATTCAGCAGCTCGGCATATTTAACAGCTCATCAGTAGTAAGTTCAGCATTGAAATTCAACAGTAAATCAATTCAGCAGCTCAGCATAATTCTGCAGGTCATCAATAGTAAGTTCACCATAGAAAATAAGCAGTAACCAATTCAACAACTCAATTCAGTAGCTCAACATAATTCAGCAGTTCAACATTGATAATCAGCAGTAAATTCAACATAGAAGTTTGATAGAACCTGTCCTGCAAAAGCAACCAGCAATACCAACAAACTATTCCACAACACACAACCAATCACTCACAATCAATAATAAAATGCCCAGTTCTATTAATACCCGCACAGAACAGTACAACCAGAACAATACTTCCGCAAATGAACTAGAAAAATACAGCAAGTGCATTAAGAAAAGTAGTAACTAAAGGCTGACTTCGAGGGTCAGTCACCTCCCAGAATACTGACTTCGAGGGTCAGCTGCCTCCCTTCCAATTTACTTTTTCCTTCTTGACAATTCTTTTTCTCTCCTCCTGTTTTTATTCACTCCCGGCACCTTTTGTGCTCCTAACCGAATTCCTATATTCACTCCTGTCAAGCCATCTGTCCTTTCTAACAAACTCCAACCTTCTACACACAAATGTCAGTACTTATTCCTCTACTTTTAACCCTTGCCCTTCCTATGGTATACCAGCCCTCTTGGCTGTTCATCAAAGTTCAACAGTAACACAATTCAGCAGTTTTGAAAAATCTCCAGAATTAGGCAGCTTTGAAAAATCACTACAGCAGTAACATAATTCGGTTGCTTTGAAAAATCACTAGAATTCAGCAGTAGAAACTAAAACATTATTAGTTGTATGGGCCAAAAATCATATTGGACCTGATGAGGTCCAATAACAAAATAACAATCTCACGGCTCAAAGGCCTTAGCCCAATTCCGATTGGGCCTATGCTTAAACTACCTTGTGAATTGCCCGCTCAACAAGTTGGGCCACCCTCCGAGATAAGTTGAATTAGGTCCGGCCCATTTGCCCACAGTAGTCCACAAAGGGATCAGAATCTCATTCAATTTCCTCTTCCTGTAGGATCCTGTATCCTATCCAAATTGGGAAGCCTCAACCAAAAAGGGGAACAAATATGATCTTCTTCTCAAATTGGAACTCCTCTACTAAGTAGGATTCGTACTCCTACCAGGATATAGTCCCATGGGTTCATTATATAAGGAAGGGCAAACCTCCTCATCAAACATTCATAAATCACCTACTAGCTCTCGCGTTCTAGCTCTCAAGCCGCCATAATACTTTGACGTCTCCTTGATGCCATCTCAGTCTCGACAGCCTTCATTGCCGCCTTGTAGGTCTACCTAATTGTCAGTGGCTCGCACCACAAGATTTGACCCCTGTATCTGTAACCTTAGATTTTACCGTCTATAATTTGGCGCCCACCGTGGGGCATTGTCAATACTCGATCCAAAATGACCTGCCGTTCAGTTCTTTCCCTTATGTTCAGCCGTCATGGCCACTCATACCGAAAGTTCAGCACCAGACGTTTCAGCTCAAATTGAAGCCCTCATCGCATTGGTGCAAGAAAGCAATGATAAGTACCAAGCCTTTGAAGCCTAGAATGCCACCATCCGTTCCGAAAATAGAGCTCTCCAAGATAAGGTAAGCCAATTCTACTCTTTAGATTGGTCATTCAACCAGCACCATGCATCCACCTCTCAACGCCCCATCCAACCCAGACAATTGTTCCTCAGCGTAGATAGCGGCACCTTCACTGGCACCTACACCCATCCGGATCTAACCATTACTTCAATTGCGGTTGATCTGACCCAAGAAGAAAATGCCTAGCATCCCAATCATCTAGACATCAAGACGCACACCCAAACTGCCTCTTCCCAACACTTAAACACTTCCTTTACACTTCAATAAACACACCCTATGTAATTGCTAACCAATGTCACTCCCTAGACTATACTGCTCAACACAACCATTCATATCAACCCAAGAGTATTCCTCCAATTCCTCTAGAACCTCAACACCCCTACACCAACTGCCCTTGAATAAACATTAACCGAATGACTAGCTGAGATGGAAGCCATGATCCAACGTATTCCAAGCGTACCTATACCACTAAAGAAGAGTCAGCCTCACAGTTATCCTGAATCACCACATAGATAGCATTGCACTTGCTGAAATGCCCCAAAAACTCGCTTTCCCCAACATGAAACTTTACGATGGAACCACCAACCACATAGCTTCATACAAGTAAAGAATATTTGTTGCCGCCATACCCAAAGACCTCCATAAAGCATGCATGTGCAAGAGCTTTGGCTCCAGCCTCGTGGGACCAACACTTCAGTGGTACACCAATCTACTTAACAACTTCATTGCTTCCTTCTCCCAATTGATGGACACCTTTATGGAAAAATTTGCTAGTAGCAAAAAACTTGAGAAGTTTTCTAGTGACCTTTATCACATTCGACAACATCACAACGAACCACTCCGGGACTATGTTGGTCACTTCAATCATAAGAAAGTCTCCATCCCCTATTGCAACCAGGAGACCACGGTTTACGCCTTTAGGAAGGGCCTCCTCCCAGATAAGGAGTTATACAAAGAGCTTACAAAGTTTAATTGCAATACAATGGAAGATGTGTTAATCCATGCATGGATAGAGATAAGGTGGGAGGAAGATGAAATCCACAGAATCAAGTGATGCGTGCCGAGCGCAACCAAAAATTAAATTACTTTACTCACAACTTGTAATCACAATAAGTACAGGTCAATCCACAAAGACTATCTAATCAAATTACCCAACTTAATATCACAATAAATTAATGAAATAAAAAGGGGGAAATTTTACTTCAAAAATTAATTGATGCAATAGTAATTACTACTAACAAGAATTAAGCAAAGAGAATTTAATAAAAAAATGATTTTGAGTGAAGGAAAATTACTCGCGGTTGCAAACTAATCACTAACTTCTAATATATATTATTCTTTAATTGAATATTTAACCAAAGATTATCAAGAAGCTAGACAATCTTTATCTTCCCTAAGTTCATTAATCTGAGCCCATCACACAAAGTAAATCAATCAATCACACAATCAATCAATTAGCAGGCCTCCTTAATGTAACACCCACATTGAGGTACGTTATTTATGTTCTAATGCTATTAGTTTTACTTGTTGCAAGGTGAAAGATTGAAAAATTAGAATTTGCAGACTTCGCTGCGGCAAAGGAGTTTTGCCGCCGCAGCATTGTACACACTGCCCAAATTGCGCTTTTAAAATTACAGACTTCGCCACGGCAAGGAAAGAAGTTCACCACGACAATGTTTCCTCTGGAATGTCTTGCCGAGGCAAAGAAAAATTTTCCGTGGGGCAAAGAATTTGTTGGAATTTTTTAGAAAATTCTGGAAACCTTGCTCAAGGGCAAAATAGTCATTTCACCCATAATTAGTTGAAACTGTGGGGAGTAAAAAGTAGTAGAGTTTCATGGAGAATGCAATGGAAATAAGGGTATTATTGTAATTGATTAAAGGGCAAAGATGGAATTTCATAGAAAGTACAAAGGCAAAATGGGAAAGTATAAGTAATATTATGTGATATTAAGGGTTCAAGAATTGAAACCCTACCATTCTCTACTCCCTCACACGCCACCTTCATCCTCAATTCTCTCAATTTTCTTCACCAAATTTCCAAGGAAATTTATAGGATTTTGGTAGATTTTTAATCCTAAGTATCCAAAGGTCAGATTATTGCACCAAGATGTAAGATTAATTTTTTAAAAGTGTTGAATTCTTATAGTTTATATGCTTAGGGTTTAAGAGGAAGAGGAAGTCTACCAAAGAGAGCTAGTGTTGAATTACTCAAGTTCAAGGTAAGTAAATCCAACCCTAGTCATGATTTGAGCAAGAATTGTGTAGAGAAATTTTATA